TGATCACATACGTTTCTTACATGCTTTCGTTTGCATCCGGGATTGGTGGGAGTTTCTAAAACAATCCGTTAAGGAAGAAGCGATCTCCTTTTCCCCTAAGAAACGGAGACGGTTACATAGAGATGAAATTTTCTTAACTAATAAATTAATTGGACTTAGACAACGTCTAGTTAATGGTGAGACAATCGTCTCCGATTCTATATCCAATACGGAAAGTCGCCTGAAAGCTCTCCGTACCAAAAAAAAACAGAAGGAATTATGATTCGTAGTCGTGCCAAATGGTTAGAAGAGTGCGAACGCCCCAGTCGATTTTTTTTTAATTTACAGCGAAGTAAAGTGCAAAGATCGCACATCTCCCCAGTGTACGATTCAGACGGCAATGAGGTTTCCTCTCAAGAGGAAATTGCGAAAGTGCACGTGGATTTTTACTCTCGACTCTTTTGTGAAGAGCCGGCAGATTCCGCAATGCAAACCGATCTTTTAAATTCTTTGTCTCGTCAACTCACATCCAATCAGGCATCCTCTTGTGAAGGTGACTTGACGCTCGAGGAAATTACTGTCGCTCTGAATAAAATGAACAAAAACAAAGCTCCCGGCCCTGATGGCCTTTAGGTCGAATTTTACTCAAAGTTCTGGGACCGTTTGGGTCCATATCTGTGCCAAGTTTTTAGTGCATACTCCCAACCTAGAGAGATGTGCGAGTCTATGAAAACTAGTAATAGTCGAGTCCTTTTCAAGAAAGGGGATCGCAAAGATCTTAAAAATTGGAGGCCAATTTCTTTACTAAATGTCGATTATAAGATATGTTCCAAGTCTCTTTCTCTCCGTCTCTCTAAAGTTTTACAGTTTATCGTTGATCCTGATCAAACCTGATATGTGCCCTGTCGGAAAACTACGTCAAACCTACACCTATTGCGGGATATTTTAGACTATATTGAGCGCACTAACGAAATTGGCATTCTACTCAGCCTCGATCAAGAGAAAGCCTTCAATCGAGTTAGTCGCACCTTTTTATTTAATCTGTTAAACCGTTCTGGTTTTGGTTTATCATTCTGCAACTGGGTTAGCACACTATATAATGGTGCTAACATGTAAGTCATCGTTAATGAATGGTTAACTGAAGCGATACCTCTGTCTCGCGGAGTGAGACAGGGGGATTCCCTGTCACCTTTGTTGTATATTTTATGTGTTGAAACTTTCCCCTGTAAAATCCGAAAAAATCCCCCCAGAGAAGGTTTTGTCTTACCCGGCGCACGCGGAATAAGATATAAAGTTGGGGTATATGCTGATGATACGACCTGTACTGTTAAATCTACTCGTTCGCTGGCATCTCTCTTTGATAACATTAATATTTATGAACGCGGTTCTGGAGCGCGCCTAAATGTTGCCAAAACGGAGGCCATGTGGTTGGGCGCGTGGCGTACACGGAGCGATCAACCATATGGCCTCAGGCGGTTGACAAAAATGAAAATCTTAGGAGTTATTTTCGGCAATGATACTGAAGTGGATAATTGGCAACCAAAACTTGAGAAGTTGGAAAAACATCTTAATCTCTGCAAATCTCGTTCTCTCTCGCTCGTTGGCAAATCTCTTTTGGTCAATGTCATAGGAATCAGTAAGCTACTCTATCTGTCTTCGGTTCCGTGCGTTCCGTCCGTTCGGTTCTATGCGTTCCCTTGATGGGTTATTTGTAAAGTAAATTCGCTAATTTGGCCTTTTGTTTGGGGCTCTCGTATTGAGACAGTAAGTCGAATGACCTGCCACCAGCCTTTTAACAAAGGTGGCCTCGGAATTTTCAATTTCCAAATCAAAGGTGACTCCTTAAAGCTAGCCTCT